TTGTGTCTTCTTTCGTCTTCAAGGAGTCTCGGGACGCTACATCATATTCAATCCAAGGGTAAAATTCTAGAATCAATGGATATTGAAGATTTTATATCAATTATTTACGCCGCCACGATTTTGTCAATTTGATTCATACATACTTTTCTAAAGTCCCCAAATTTGGCGCGAATTAACGCTTTAATCATTGGTATGAGGAAGTAATTAAAACTCCCCCAAACAGTGATTGGCCATTCAGTAGGCACTGAAGATACTTCAACTTGCCTCTTTGCATTAACAGTGGCCATTATGAACTGGAAAATCCATACGTGGGAGTCTTCTACCTATCCATCACACCACCACAATAAGTGTCCTCTTTAGCATAAGTGGCAGTAAATGGTGTTGGTTTATTTGGAGTGTCTGACTGTCGCGCCCTACAATTGAGTGGATTACATCGAGAGAGAGTCATTTAGGAGGTACTGCCAAAGTCTGGACTGTGTTCAACACCTTTCGCCTAAAAAAGACTTTAGGGAGAGGGAAATATTATCCCCTCCGAACATCTAATAAACCAATGGAATCGGGTAGGCGTCGTGATCCTTCGCCTTCTGCGTTAGTAAAACATGACATCCAGAGAACTTGTTCATTTGGGGTAAATTATCCTGCCGGGTACCACCAATGTGTTGCCTGGGTCACTCAAAAAGGCATATCCACCGTGGCACCAAGATGGAAACCGAAACCTTCTGTCACAGCTGTAGGATCCGCATCACCTCTAACGGTGCAACGGTCCATGCCATAAAAATAGGACAGTCGTCATTGTAAAATACATATCAGTAAAACAAATCACCTCTTAGTACATAGAAGGCTCACAACGAAATCCGAAGGAAAATGCATTCCCGCAGACATTTTTGATTGGCTGGTTACTGGACACCGCTAAGGTCACGCCACTAGTTTGCAATGGCTTCATTTCACCTCACAAAAAGTACGAAATGCCACAGAATGGCATGGCCGTCTTCTTCGCACTCTTCACTCTTCTCATTTTCCCTCATACCTTGACATGTGCTATTATAGAACATGAGGGGTTCCAGATAAAGACAGAAATTATCTCCCCAACTCGAGTTCGACTCTCCTGGGAGGGTGTGGGTGAGGTGGAGGGTGGCAGAGCTTCAAGGTTCCGCGTTCTCTGCTCTTCTCCAGGCAGTGCTCCTGTTGAAGCAGTTACTACGGCAAAGAGGATAGAAATGGACACTTTTACACCCGGAGCGGAGTACACTTGTGAGGTGCATCCAGTCTGGGATAATTTATTTGAGGGAATAGAGGTGATTTCTGCAAATCCGGGTACTTCACAACCATTTGTGATGGACTTCAAAGAGCCGGAAGTTTCAAGTATGTCACTTTCTAAATATCTTAGTAGTCTTGCTCTCATTTCACCCAAAAATTTTGTTTGAATCTCTAAATATCGTGAAGGCCCCACAAGAAATCCGGTTTTCCATCATCACCAATTGCTATGTTAAACATGAAAGCGGATATTTGTCAAAAGCAGAAGTCATTTCAGGCCTCCTTTGGTGAGGCTTCACAAATCCAGCATTTCACAGGCGATGCCTGCCTTCCGGGCGACAGAGTTAGGGATGTTTTTCCACTTTTACCATTTTCTCACCTTAAATCCCTTCCGAGAAGTCGTAATTAACCAAGCAGGGATGGAAAACGAAAAATATATATTATTATTAAAGTACGGAGGGGTCGGTGGAAGGTCATAGACCTACCAGCGAGGCCATATCCACTAGGAGAAGCAGAAACCGCGAAGCGAAAAGGCCTACAGTGTCATATCAGCAACTTCAGGCATTTGTTTGCGTATTTTACACACATCAAAAGATTTCCAAGTACTTTACTGAGTGAGGGTTTGTTGACAGGTGAAGGCTGTCACACTGAAAGGTAAGGGTCAAGTCAGTTTGGTGTACTTTTTGACATGACGTAGCTTATGTGAGGACGATAGAGATCGGCACATTAGCATCCATTACAACATTTTTTCTTAAATTTGACGGAACCGTTTTGCAAGTAGTTGGCTAACAATCATTTCAAATAAAAGTTATCATTCGGACTTATTTATCGGCTGCTTTAGGTGTCCACTTGTACCCGCTTTACCCCCTACATTGTTTATAGGTGCGGCCGTTTCCATACGGGGTCTTTTAAGTACTGAAACAAGCATGACAACTGGGTTGGACTTGTGATTTCCTTGAATTTTGTCAAGGCGAGAGCTTTTAGACTGCCTGTTGGCAGTCTTTTCCCACTCATTGAGATAGACTCACAGGGAATTTAACTGTTGCAAAAACACAATTTTGGCATGAATTCCCTCACACCCTTAATGCGTATGTCCTCAACTTTACCTTCGCGATTCGAAGTAAGCGACCTTAAGGTGCTCTCAACTACTGTCATAATCTTCTCCAAGTCGTTCGAGTTACTTGTGCTCTAGTAATGACCAACAAGATTTTATAAGGCGACAGAAGGGTGGCAAAACTGTAATAAAAATTCACTCCTAAAACCTAACCATAATTGTTATTTGTTTTGCCCAACTACCTCAACTAGCTGAGAAAGTTAGAAATGAGGAAGAAAAAGAAGAGGAGAATCATAGTGTTAACGATGAACATGAGGCCCAAACAACAAAAGAGGGGCCGAATGAGCCTCATAACACAAGTGAAGGGTCGGCTGACCTCACCACTGTGAAGCCAGAGGATAATATTCCCGAAGTGGCAGTAACTCCACAAGTTCAAGCTGAGGCCACAAGTGGAGGAGTCGCTAGGGTGAGGTGGGAGCCAGTGGGCGAGAATGGAGTGAATGCATCGAGATATCGAGTGATCTGCCAAACGGAGGATCTCCTCCAACAGCCGATCAAAATTGCTTCGACTAAACAGACCGTGGTAGAGGTAGGGACGTTTGAACCAGGTCTGGAGTACACCTGCTCTGTCTATGCCATTTGGGATAATCTGGCCTCTGGCGCAGAGGTGGTGTCTATAGCTCCTGGGATTTCAAACGCTTTCAGAATGCCTAATAGAGGTAAGCGGGACATTTTTTAAAGCAAAGCCGATAACATTTCTGTGTTATCAGGTCATTGATAAATCTGGCTGATCAGTAATCCTTTTGAATTTTATTCTTCACGGTAGTTGTAAGTCTATGTAAAGTTCTCGAAACGCCTTGCAAACATGTACTAGCTTGTAGGTAGTTGTAGACCGATGGAACGTTAGCTCCACGCTGAGATTAATTTCTTCTGAGGCCATCTTCGACCCAGATGGACAAGTCGCCCATGTAATGGCAAGACCAGCAGACCTATATGTCAGAGCCGGTCACATAAAACATCCACGCATAATTTTCCTAACAATAACCCTTTTAAAAAGAGAAGTAATGCTCTACAAACCATTTGCATGCCACTCTTGCCAATGGGATGGTTAGATGAGAAATAGAACACGGGTTATCGACAAAGGATGCTATTAGCTTGGCAAGCTTTAGCTGACTCCTCCAAATCAATGACTTTTTTCCTATTCCAGCTGAACATCGGTTTGTGCGGATATTTACCCTCCTGTACCCGATTGCTGTAACCCTTTGCATGCAAATGTAGTCGTTTTTATTCCCTCCAATGAACTTTAGTCAGTGATTAGACGGTGCGGTTGAATTCTTCCAAAAATAGTTACTTTTTAAAAACAGCACTGATTGTACGAATAATCACAGTCTATTTCTAAAGGCGAGTTTTAATATTTCAAAGGGGTTATGGAAAGGAGTCTTAAGGTAACGGGGCGATATTCAAGATGACTATTTGGTTTACTTATGCAGACCTATATAGGGATGGCAATATTTCACTTTTGTTTTAGAAGTTAATTTATTAGCAAATGGATCCTCCAGCCTTGTGAGACGCTCTCGTTACATAGTGTGTGGCTAGATTTTAAGGCTAGAGCGGCAAATTTATCCATAAACTTGTTTTATGACTTTAAGAGAAGTTACTATATGCGATGCGATTCAGTGACCAAACACTCAACGATACAAAGTCTTTGCTAATAGTTAGATGAGATATCCACCACTGCTAAATTCTGGTTCGTTTTTCGCTTCTACAATCGCCGCTCTTAGACTTCTTGTCTATTGCCCCGATGAGATATGATTTTTGGCTCAATGCCGATCGGAAGAAAAATATAACCAGTCATCCAATCCATTCTGTTACTACACAGCAGACAAGACCACTGTGCCCCATAATGCAAATTCGACAAAGCCATATCCCATAGTCCAAAAAAGCACATTGACAACTCATTACTACATGCTTTGGACTTGTTTTAGGTTCCCCATTCTACTTCGCACACCCCTCTAGCTACGGCTTAAGATTCAATTAATCTGTCTGCGTTAAGCACTATGCAACCTTACTAACTTATTCAGTGATAACTGTAGTGAGGGCTTCCACCGTTGATACTTGAAAATGTTGTTTCAGTCCGTCCCAACATTGCTTGCACTTCAGAAAACTTGGCGCACCCCGCACATTCAACACATAGATATTTGAATAATGGCACAAATATAACAACAGAAAAAGGTGTATAAAAAGAGATGCGACCCAACCGCCCCACCCCCAAAAACGCCTTTTTTACTGTAGAAAGCAAATTTCCGGTTAAACTTGAACACCTCCCGTTCCTCCCATATTCAACAAGCAACAACCGAAATGTAAATCTGCAATGTCTAGAGTGATAGCAGTCAGTGTTCTATTAAAAACCACAAAAAATACCCCCAGGCACCTGTTCAAAAGGCACCAAAGACATCACATAAAATACGTATTCTATAAAGGCAGCAAGTCATCCGTTCACTCAGCATCAATGTTAGGCAACCAGAAGGACGTTTGCACAGATCCCGTAGCGAGCATAGCAAAACGGGGATTAAAGGCCACACAATTGAGCACCCCGCTGGGCCCTGTCATCTGACTGGCCGCCTCGAAGCTCGGTAATGCGGCCACCCGTCCACCCGTCTCCACCGACCAGACTTGGAGAAAGGCATCTGGTGCAGTGCTGATCACGAACTGGCTGGTAGGTGTGAAACATGCATCTAAAGTCTGTCGCTCCGTGTTATTTGCCACCTTTGGAACAAAACATCAGCGTTAAATATTGTGCGTACTCTTGCATTGCCCAAAACCCGTAGCGTAAATAAACCATTTCATAATTCAAAACGCCATCGAGGGACTCAATACATTTCTGGGTTGGAGGATGAGATAAGAATGTCAGAAAGATTGAAAAAAGAGAATGTGTTTCGGTAACGATATCTCACATGCCTTTCAGCTAAAATACCTTATTGATTGCTCAAAGGTTCGTGAGGTTTTCGTTATAACCAACTTCAATGACCTATTGGAACTTGTCTGGATTTGTAAAATGAGACTACTTCTACGCACTCTCAGGTATAACTATGCATTGGTGCATCAGCAGCCTGTATTCTACTGCTTACAATCTTCCCATTGTTTTAAATTTTTTGTGAAACAACTGTCGATTAAAACTGAAGCGATTAGTGCTTGTCCACCTCGCAGACCAAATTCGACTCGGTTTCTAAGCTCCAAAAACTTGTCTTAGAAGCTTGTCGTCTGGCATTGTCAGGAGTCACGTCAGGTAATCAGCGTATCGTCAAGAAACGGTACAAACAATGAGTGACACTAGTGATTAACTGCACAAAAGTAGACACGTTACTCTCAAGAAAAGTTGGTTTTCTTGAGTAACAACTAAAAAGCACTTGTCGTCGTTAAAAAGGTAAATCGAAATAAGTACGTAAAGAACAACTTGGAGTGATGCTTAACATGAGTGAGGGTGAAACAATTAAATGACCCCCAAATAAATCGAGAAAGTTGTAGTCCAGCAACTGCACGACATTACTTCCTGAATGTTGGCCAGTTTTAAAGATTTTCATAGGTATTTCAAAGTGTCTACAAAGCTATATTGAATCAGATAATCATAGTCAAGGAGTGCGATTGAAATGTTCACACTGGGGCAGAATAGTATCGGTCTGGAGTACATAATTAATCATACGGATCACTTGCGGTCTGGTATGGTACTTGACTTCTATTACACCCGTGTATTTGCAAAAAAGGTAAAGTAACAGACCCGTTGGCCTCATATTAACTATCAGATTCAAGGAGAAAATCAAATACTACATCCCAGATGACAGGAAGACTTGCATGACCTGACTGTCCAACTCAACTGCAACTCGGAAGCTAAAAACACTAAGGACACCCTAAACCTGTTTAAAACTCATCAAAGCCGTCTTAGGCACTACTAGGAGCACAGGAATAACTAGTGACTTAAAGGTCAGGTAAGAAATTTGAGGCGTCATATATGTGCGACGCAGACAGCTACAACACAATTATAGGAATCTGGAGATTACTTGTTTCAATAAGGAACTCTAATAGTTCACAAAAAGTTGCATTTGAATTGACAACACTTCGAAGGGTAGCAGTGGGAAACCAAGTCCTAATGAAGGCACACCTTCGTGATCATAAGGACAGCACAACATCGCATTCCAACGAGGCCGCATGAAAGTACAGAAAATTTTCTGGACAAACGATTTAAACAAATGCTGAAAATCCACCTAACGGTAAGAGAGGTGTTTAAAAAATCAAGGGTTTAGAAATCGACTCAGTAAACTAACTCACCGTCAGAGTGTGAAGATGAACCCCAGAAAAGGCGTCTACAAGACGAAGAAAATTGCCATTTGTGCAAATAAGAATGGTTTTTCCGTCTGGAGAAAATTTCAGACTAGTCCACTCAATTCCTTGAGCCTCCACAGTAGTTAATTTGAAGGTGGCAAAGGGACCCTTGTCGAAGGAGCGCAAGTCATATAGTTTAAGACATTCGGAATTGATTCCCGCGGCGAAAATTAGACCATCCGGATCGAAAGCTGCTGTGGGACGACCGGGTACATGCATTACTCCCTGCGAAACCAAAAATAGTTTAATAAGACTATATTATAGTCGCTTGTTAAAAAATATGAAGCCAATGATACATCTTTACTGCAAGTTAACAACGCAAGTTCTTGAAGGTTTGCAGGTCTCGATCTTTATTGTTATATTACTACATTTTACTTATACCATTACTATTAACCTCCCAGTCCGTCACGAATTATACACCTTGTGGAGCCCACAAGGAGCGTTCCAAGGCTGCAAAAGTTAATAATATAATACTGGAGGGGGAAAAATAAACGTAAGGCACAAAAGTAGGGAAAGAAACTAACGTGACAATTTTGGGAACGTAAATCCCATAGCCTCACAGTACCATCCAACGCGCCGGACAGGAATGTGTCATCGATAGGAGACATGCATAGAGACACGACACTACCAGAAACAAATTAGGATGATGCAGACAAGTTACCGCTTTACGTGGCTTTGAAAATATCGAATGTACTTGTTGTCATGCAGGGACAAATACCTAATTGTGTCTAAGTAATTAAAATGGGGTAGCGGTGCAAACCACAGTTACCATCAATCTTTGTTGAAGCATGGATTGCTGTCGTCGGACTGTGAGTGAATTGGATAAGGTTAACACCATATTTCTTGCTATTAATTGTTCTCTTGGGACTAAAAATAGATAATACTAGGCAGTGATTAACAACAACTAAGGGTTGATAGATAAACACCCCTAGGTAGTCCTCATATTAAAGAAACGTGCCAAATAATCATTAACAGGAGACGTGTAAGCCAATAACAACATGGAAGCACCGATTTAATAAAGGACGTAATGCAACAAACGATTAATCCGGATTCGTCTATAGCCATCCCTCTACGTAACAAACTTAGTGCCCAATGCCAGAGTCTGACGATTGATATGAGCCTCGGTTAAAAAAATGATATAGCAGTACAGAGTAGACCAGAAGCACTCACGTTCCAGAGTTGCAATCATACATTATCATCTGATCATCATCACTACTTGATATGATAGCTTCTCCGTTGTCAGTATAGCTCAGAGAATTAATCTTATCACAATTTTCCTTAAAATACTTCACTGGACGGAAGGTTTTCACCTCCGATACGGTCAACTTCATCTTTACTCACAAGTATTTTGGATTAACCACCTAACCACACGTTTACTTAAACGAACATATGTAAAACTATAAATGGATTAACCGTTCTCTGCTAATTTGTTAACCCCATTAAAAAAGGCAACAGGCCATTTCAAAAAACTAGTTGTAACGTCATGCAGCGCATCAAGAGCAGGTCTCCCAAAGTGCAGCTTGCAGTCTGTAGGCATTCCCTTAAATAAGATGCGACTTGATGGGCATAAATGAGACATAGCAGGCATTTAAACAGTACCACAAGTTGTACTGCGATACGATGGTGGTATTGGTGAGGCGCCACTTCTAAAATTTTGAATTTGCCCTCTTGTACCGCGCTGAATGGGCTCGCCGTTGGGCCATGCCAGTAGCCCAAATATTTTCTCTGTGCTAAATATATTCTGCTCGAGTACTGTGTGTTCGTTTGCCTCCAGGAAAGTCTTGAGAGGCCACAGTATAAACGCAAAATAAAACGATTAACAAGCAGGCGATATGAAGCAATTTGAATAAGTTTGCTATGCACTCAAATGCTGTGCAACTGATCTATCTGAATGGGCTCTCTAGGAAAAACGTCTCATTGAATTACATTACTGATAAGAGATTAAATGGCTCTAAATTGCACTTAAAAAAGGTCAGCTGTTGGTAAATTTTCTACATGAATTCCACAAATCGGATGGCTTATTTTATTTACACCTAGTTGTGGTTTTCGGAGTTTGCCGGCAACTTTAACCAATTGTATTTTTATTTATTTTATAATTTTTACATATAGAGTTTTTTCTCCCTTTTTCATTTATCCCTATTTTTTGACATCCTCTGTTTTTTGGTGTCATTTACCTGTCAATTCACCCTAGATAGTTCATTGCATTGGCAAATAATTAAATTATTTTCTAGGCCTGTAAAGGCATGTAAATGGCATTTTAGCAAATTTTAAACAAATTTTTGCCCTTTATATGAAGGACAAAGAACTACGGAGCTATAAGATTAATACTCTTCAAGCACGCTGATGACCTTGACGATAACTTTGCGATTGTGTTTTCGTTGCATAAAGCGCCCATTACAACCACATGGCCCCCAGCTTATCTACTATTATTGAAAGTGATTGCCTTAACTTTATCGCAGTGCAATTATGTGATACATATGCTATCATAGACGCGTGCGCTCTTTGTAGAGAACTAAAACGGAGGCAGAAGTCAACTAAGGGCTACGGTGTTGCACCTCTTCACATGGCAGCACTATTTAAACATGTCGTCACCGTGTTCATTAAGTGTAACATTACACCGATATTCCTCTTTCAAGGACTGCATGCACGTATCGTAAGTTTGCTCACGCTATTTCTATGCTCTTAGTCTACAGGGTGGCTTTCGAAAGTTAACCATCTGAAAAAATCCATGAGAAACCCTATCATTCCAAGCCCAGGCATACCGCCTGACCAGTTTATCTGCAAATCGGGGAATTGTAATTGCGAATTAAGTTCCTTTACTGTTGTTTTGGATGAACTAAATATTAAATACATATTTACCGCTGGATACAATGCTGGTGTCGCGGCCGCGATTGCGGTTCTATTGGACTGTCCTCTACTAGCAAGTGATGCTTTATATTATGTTATGTCTTGCAGCCAAACCTGTGGAAGTAATGAAATCATTGGCAAACTTAAGTTTCATCCCATCTCAGGCCTATCCTTCTCCCCTATTCAAGTAGATTCTCGCGAAAACTTTAACTCGTCTACTCTGGTCCACTTTTTGGAAGGTCATCTTTATAATCCGATCGAATCATTCTTATCCCACTTGCCACCGATTTCTTGTCGCATATTTGGACTACTTTGGGGTGACTCTGCAATCCCTCGATTACATCTACCACCTGAAGCTGTTGAATTCGATCTACGAAATAAAAGTAATGTTAGTCGCAAAAAGATCTTTGGTAATGCCATCCGACTTGCTCAGTGGATAGGTGAGGTTGGTCCTTCCAAGGCACTACAGAATGTGGTCGAGCTTATAGGGGACTTGGAATTTAAAAATGTTCTATCTCAATGTATACCGCAGTCGATAAGTCGCACTCAAATGGACCTCAAGGAGGCCTTCCTCATTCTCCAAGAGTTGGATCGTGTTCCCACCTTCAACGAGGGTACTTGTGAACGCATTTCGGCAATACTTCATGGCAAAAGTAATTGTCAAAGTGTCACTTCACCTCTACGCATTTGTGACCCCATTATTGATCACTGGCCGGCGCGTATGTTAAAGGCGTATCGGCGCGGGCTAGTCTGCCCATTCCTATTATCCTCTCTGTA